ACGGTTCTGGCGAGCTAAGAAAATGTTCATCTCCCTGAGCTTGGCCTTCATAATTCCATTCCATCACACCTGTCAAATAAAACATAGGTGAATTAACCACAGTTTCAATTTGGATATAATATTAAACTGTGGTTAAATGAAAATTTTTCATGTCATGGTGACCAGTGGTTTTTTTTTTTTTAATTTCTAGAAAAATAACTCTGAAGTTTGAAAAATGAGATGAAAATGTTTTCGAGAACTACACATTTGTCAGCAGTAAATGTTCATTGCTAATTTGAGCCAATACATTACCAGTGAAGAAGACACTGTAAAACAATAGCAATTTATCTAAATATACAAAATTTATATTTGTAAATCAGCTAAACTACTTTAATAAGATAGTGTATGTAATGGCCTAGTCCACTCCACTGATTATGTAGGGAAAGCTTACATGTTTATCAATGACGTCTTCAAAGGACAGTTCAAGCTACAGCTGATCTAACTTTCTGTATTTACATCCTTGTAATTGGGTGGATAGGTGAGCGTGTTCTTTTTGCAATTTTATCCAGGAATAGATGTCAGAGCAAACAGTAATTAGAAAGAAAGGATGTCTCATCTTAAGTTCCTGGGACCTTTTAAAATTTCTAAAAATAACTGCAATTGTAGACTTTTTCAGTTAATTGGAGTCACTCTATTGTAGTTTGTCTCCATTACAATAACCTTTGCAACAGTGCAAAATGACCTGAATTGCAGTAAGCAAAAAGTGTCCCCTCTCTTGAGTTCTTTGCTGTAATCGTTTTTCTCATAAGGCTTTTCTAGAAACAGACAGACAATGGGTAATCATTGTCTGAAAAGCAAAATAAATAAATAAAAATGCAGGGGCAAAGTTTTAAAAGTGTAGTGGGAAATGAATGTCTGTAAATGTATAATCATAAGAGTAAAACACCTTCTTCAGTTGCTGACCAATAAAGAGCATGTAAGTAAATAGGTATATTAACAGAACATTAAAAAGTAATTATTTGTGAAACAAAATGCAATAAATATAAATATAGTGTGGGATCAAAACGCAGGACACAAATGCAGAATAATCAAGGCTTCACTGCAGTGTTT